TATTAATTTATAACTTTCATTAAATTCATTTACAATTTCCCTGATAATTATTTTTTCTTTTTTTTTTTTTTTAGGCAGTAAATGAAGACTTATTAGAACTTCGTTTCAGACCGGATAATCCTTTTTGTCATCCTATTAATGGAGATATAATTCCAACAGCGAATCTTTTACTTAAAGTAACACGTCGACGTAAAAAAGTTAAAAACCATCATATGCGACGCGATTCTGATGACAGTAATGAAGAATCGATCAAAGACTTCAATTTTGAAATTATGGGGATTATCAGTAAAACCTGTCGCTTTCGAGGCATGTAGAGAAAATAAAATAAAATAATACCTGCAATAAGTTGAATAAGTTGAATTCTTTTAAAATTATATAGGAATGGCAGATTATCAATGTGTTCCAAATCCGAATGATTCTGTTCCAAGATATAGAAAGGCACTAGAAAATTTTGATAGTAAGATATAGCAAACAAATGATTTGATTTATAATATTATATAATTACAAGCTCATTTAATGGAATATAAACCAAACAGTCGATACAATTATGGATTTCGACTCTTTATTAAATGATAGAAGAGAAGAAGATAATTTACCACCACCATCTTTTTCACGTATCGAGTGTCCTATGGAATATGGGTAATCTTTGAGCGCGTTATTAATATATAATCGTTGTGAACTTTCACTTGCTAACATATCTATTCCATAGCTATCGACAGAATATGGCAGTGGTTAAAGTTCTGGTTCAAAAGGGAGAAGGAGAGGTGAAAGAACCCACAATTTTAATTATATTTGTTTGTACCAATTAAAACGCTATTTAATATATATATTTTTTAGGCACCTGCCCTTAAGTTGATTAATAGAAGTCGCAGGAAGAAATTTGTCGCCATTTCAATCTATTATGATTCAGAAAATATCCTTATTTAAATTAAATCTTATCACGTGCCTGGTTGATGATGTACCTTAACAATGTCACCTATTCCAGAGGGGCCACCGCCGGATGCTATAAAACCTGCGCATCAACCTTCTCCGGAGAGTATCGCGCGAATTCAAAAGGTAATTGCATCATTAGAAAATGATTTTCATTAATACTTTGACGTATTTTTTGGGTTTAAAGCTATTCGCAGAAAGACCAATATGGACAAGACTGGCATTGATGAATAATTTGCCAATTTGTGATCGGAGATCCATAAAAATGTATACA